CGCCCCCAGCACCCCTGAGGACCGGGAGTATGAGGAAGCCTTCCTTTTAGGATCTCTGTGGACTAAAGAGCCAGTTGGGTGACAGGGAGTTGTGGGCTCTTTTCTGACAGGTACCCTAAGTTTGCTCATTGCATTCAGGAGTCAAATACAAGCTCTTGCTGTCTGCATTTAAAACATAAGACTGAATTTCTGTTTTAAAATGAACATTTAGTGTCTGTGTGGTAATCTCCATTGTAAATGCTACATTGCCCCCTGTTGGTAAGAACTTAATCTCAATTTTCTATCATAATAAAAATTAAAATAAATTTAGATATTCAAATATGCATTATACAGAAATACCCCCCTTTTTTTGCTTGTATATTTTCCTCTTGTCCTCGTTTTATATGAAAATTGCATTTGTTAAAATATGTCCGTAATGGCTTCTGAAACAGTTTTTATAAATTTTACAAATGAACACTGATCTGACTTTTTTCTCCTTTGTTATATAAGGTTTTCTCTTTATATATATATGTATATGTATTTATTTACTTTTTATTGATTTCAGAGAGGAAGGGAGAGGGAGAGAGAGATAGAAACATCAGTGAAGAGAGAGAATCATCGATTGGCTGCCTCCTGCATGCTCCACACTGGGGATCGAGCCGCCACCCGGGCATGTGCCCTGATGGGAATCGAACAGTGACCTCCACGCTCAACCACTGAGCATTGCTGGCTGGGTTCTCTCATTATATTTTAAAAAGGAAATCAGTGTTTTTCTCTGACATAATTTATCTCAGGGCATATGCAAATTACAGCCCATCTGTCTTATTTATGCAACTGTGGCAGAGCAGGTTTTTAAAAAATGACCATTTCTCTTTCTCCCAGTCCTTTTAGCCCAGCGCTGGCGGACTACTGGATGCCTGTGGATCTGTACATTGGGGGGAAAGAGCACGCCGTCATGCACTTGTTCTACGCGAGATTCTTCAGTCATTTCTGCCACGATCAAAAAATGGTCAAGCACAGGTGAGCAGTTAGGCCGCTTTGCAAAAGAATTCAGCACCATGAACAGCAACTTAAAGCAGGCATCCGTACTGGAGCCAGTAAATGTCACAGAAGAATTCTGTTTTTCGAGTCCATTTTAGTGGTCAAGGTCAGCCTGAACCATTGGAAGTGCGTTTCTGTTGCTTAATTGTTGTAGGAGGTGGTACCGCATGTTCCCATCAAATCTTGCCTTCGCCCTTCTCTGTCTGATGGAGTTAAGCAATTGAGATTTTTTTACTTGAGAGGCAGAGAAGAGCGGTTTATGATGTTTCACTACAGCTTTTTGTCGCTTCTCATGTTCGGTCATATTTATCTTCTGGCCCCTCGGTACAAGCTCTGTTTCCAAGCTGGACTGAATCCTGCCTCAATATATCACTCTGATAAAAATATATAACGGATTAAAGGCTAGGGAATCACATTGTAAATCCATTGATAAAAAATTCTCTTCCTGTTGGCCTGTGATCTAGTCCCCAGGATGTTCAGAAAGATGTGCGTGTGCTTTTTCCCATGAAGTATACCATATATATTACATGTATTTAATGTACTAAACAACTTAAAGCATACAATGAAGTGCCATGCACCCCCTTCTCAGTTTAAGAAACAGTGTGAGAGGTTCCTTGGAGTCCCCGGGGTGCCCTCTCCAATCCTAACATCCCTCTTCCTCCACCACCACCCCTCGCCCAGCAAACCCCTGCCCTGAATCTTGAATTATTCACTCTCTTACTTTTCTTTATAAATGTATCACCTCTGTGTGTGTGTGTGTGTGTGTGTGTGTGTGTGTGTGTGTATTTCAACAATATGCACTGTTTAGTTTTCTGTGTTTTAGTGTTTTAGTATTTCAGGTGCTCTGTCCTGCTTTCCTTGCTCAACACTCCTGGGTTCATCCACGTTGCTACACAGAGTTGTAGCGTTCCTCTCTCACACTGTGGTGTCTGTTACAGGGAATGGATTCTAACGCAGAGCTCGGTGTATGTGCCCAAACCCCCAGTAGTGGTCGCTGGGCTGTTTTGTGCAGTTCTGAACAAAACTGCTGTGAGCATTCTTGTATGTGACTCCTGGCCCACGTGTCAGCGGTGTCCCTAAGAGCAGAGCTGCCGATTGTGGGGTTTGCACATGTTCAGCTTGACTCAGGAGCACCATGTTGGTTACATAAACCCACCCTCTCACAGCAGAGGTGAGGGCTCCTGTTGCTCTCTCTATGTCTTCATCATGACAACAGCTTTACATTTTGAAAAGCTGGTGGTTGTAGAATGGATTGCTCTGTGAGTTAGGTTTGCGTTAGCAACACTGCTGACTTACTGAAGTTTGGCATGTTTTTAATGTTTATGGTCCTCTGTGTGTCCTCTTACACTGGATCCTTGATTGTGTCCTTTGCTCGTATTTCTTTTTTTAATATACTTTTATTGATTTCAGAGAGGAAGGGAGAGAGAGACAGAAACATCAACAATGAGTGAGAATCATCGATCGCTGCCTCCTGCACGCCCCCTACTGGGGATTGAGCCCGAAAACCGGGCATGTGCCCTGATCAGATGGAACTCTGACCTCCTGTTCATAGGTCGATGCTCAACCACTGAGCCACGCTGGCCCGGCTGCCCATATTTCTTCTGGGTCGTGTTCTATTGTTTGTAGGAATTCTTTTTAAAAAAAATATATTTATTGATTTCAGAGAGGAAGGGAGGAGAGAGAGAGAGAGAAACATCCATGATGAGAGAGAATCATTGATCAGCTGCCTCCTGCACGCCCCCCACTGGGGACCAAAGCCCGCAACCAGGCATGTGCCCTTGGCCGGAATTGAACCTGGGACCCTTCAGTCCGCAGGCTGATGCTCTATCCACTGAGCCAAGCCAGCTAGGGCGTTTGTAGAAATTCTTGAGTTATTCTGGATGCTAATGCTTTTTCAGCTGTAGGAATTGCAAGTATTTTTTCCCAGTCCTTAGCTTGCCTTATTTTTATGTCTTTTGATGAACAAAAACTCATAATTTAATGTAGTAAATTTTACTAACCTTTCATTGCTTTTAGTGTCTCAGTAGCATCCATTTCCCCCCTGATCGGTAGAGTCCTCTCCCTCATAAATCAAGTTTTCATATATATGCAAGGGTCTGTTATAGGATCTTTATTCCTTCCATTGGTTTATTTGGTTTTTGCTGTGCTAGTTATTAACTGGATTTATTTTAATTTTATAAGTCTTAATATTCAGTAAGGGAAGTCCTCCTACTTTATTCTTTTTCTCTGGGAGTATCTTAGCTGTGATTGGACCTTTGTTCTTCCGTGTATATTTCAGATTCAGCTTCTCAGATCCACAGAAGTATCTAGTGGGAATGTGGTTGGAATTGCTATATCTTTTCTCACTCTTCCTTCTTGCATCTCTGATCTTAACATCTGAAGTCATGTCCCTTTTTTTCAAATCACATGCTTTAGAATAGCTCTCGTGTTCTTTAGTGAAGGTCCAACTATGAGTTCTCTTTTGTGAGTTTGCCAGCTCAATGACCATGTTTTACATGTTTCATTTGTCCTTTTTTTAATGCAACATCTTTTAGAATATTTTTAAATTTTTTATTTATTGATTTGAGAGAGAGAGAGAGAGAGAGAGAGAGAGAGGATTAAAGCTGTCAACGTGTTTCGTTCCTTGGTTGATTATGCATTCATTGGTTGATTCTTGTATGTGCTCTTACCAGGGATCGAGCCTGCAACCTTGGCATATTGGGACAATATGCACTGTTTAGTTTTCTGTGTTTTAGTAGGATCTTATTTCAGGTGCTCTGTCCTGCTTTCCTTGCTCAACACTCCTGGGTTCATCCACGTTGCTACACAGAGTTGTAGCGTTCCTCTCTCACACTGTGGTGTCTGTTACAGGGAATGGATTCTAACGCAGAGCTCGGTGTATGTGCCCAAACCCCCAGTAGTGGTCGCTGGGCTGTTTTGTGCAGTTCTGAACAAAACTGCTGTGAGCATTCTTGTATGTGACTCCTGGCCCACGTGTCAGCGGTGTCCCTAAGAGCAGAGCTGCCGATTGTGGGGTTTGCACATGTTCAGCTTGACTCAGGAGCACCATGTTGGTTACATAAACCCACCCTCTCACAGCAGAGGTGAGGGCTCCTGTTGCTCTCTCTATGTCTTCATCATGACAACAGCTTTACATTTTGAAAAGCTGGTGGTTGTAGAATGGATTGCTCTGTGAGTTAGGTTTGCGTTAGCAGCACCACTGACTTACTGAAGTTTGGCATGTTTTTAATGTTTATGGTCCTCTGTGTGTCCTCTTACACTGGATCCTTGATTGTGTCCTTTGCTTGTATTTCTTTTTTTAATATACTTTTATTGATTTCAGAGAGGAAGGGAGAGAGAGACAGAAACATCAACAATGAGTGAGAATCATCGATCGCTGCCTCCTGCACGCCCCCTACTGGGGATTGAGCCCGAAAACCGGGCATGTGCCCTGATCAGATGGAACTCTGACCTCCTGTTCATAGGTCGATGCTCAACCACTGAGCCACGCTGGCCCGGCTGCCCATATTTCTTCTGGGTCGTGTTCTATTGTTTGTAGGAATTCTTTTTAAAAAAAATATATTTATTGATTTCAGAGAGGAAGGGAGGAGAGAGAGAGAGAGAAACATCCATGATGAGAGAGAATCATTGATC